CCTTGTATATCATAGCCCTGCCTTCTACCAGGAATGCCTAATAACTGCTGTGCTGACCCTGGCCATTTGGAGTACTGGCCCTTCAATTTCCGCTAGACACTATTGGTCGCTGAGGTCAGTCATCACACTTTAAAGGACTGATATGAAGCTACGGAGAGGGGGGTTCGCTCACTTTTTCTTGCAGAAAATGAGGCCGGCACGTTAGTAAGCCCTGTGTTTTAAAAGTTACCATGAAGGCATGTGCCATTTTGTATTATGTACCAAAAGGTTTAATTTGAATAAACACAGATGCAATATAAGCAGCTGATCTCCTTTATAATAAAAGTGGTATACAATTATTTTGAGATTATTTTCACTATATGCTTGTGTTGAAAAATATGGTACCTTATCCCTTACAACCTTACAGTTTGGAGTGGTTTAGGAGGAAGAGTCAAAACTATTACATATGCTGACCATACACTCAAAAGTCTGAAATTGGACATTTCCAAGTTTGAGCAAGAACAATAAAATAATGGTGGTAATGACTGAAAGCACTCTAGTGCTAGTTAAAGGCACTTTCTATTAATTTCTGTAATTGAAACTGTGTTTGACAAATTGCAGTGATTGAAAACTGATGGAGAGCTTCCAGGCTGCCAAGTATATAGCCAGTATTACATTTGTGCTGTATTCTATTTACTACATAATGGTTGTCTGCAATCTTTGTAAGGGGCAGAAACAGTGTATCTATAACCTTAGACTTTGTACTGTACAATACAATTTTTGAAAACAACAGTGCAGTGCTGTAGTATCTGAAGAATAACAAACAGCACTATAAGATGAGGCAATGGTTAATGATAAAAACACACAGATGATTTTAATGGGTGCATTATAGGCCGTATTTTAGCTGTAGTACTGAAAAGTACAGCATCTGCGACAATACAGTTTAAAAAGAGTGGATGAGTTTTTATGTTTTTTTTTAAGTGGTTTGCAATGCACAACTTATTTTGTGTATAAACGTACTTTATACTTCAGTCAAGCCGTAACACAGTATAAAGCACACAAACATATATGCTACACGCATACTTTGCACCTAAAACACTATATTATATGACATAAATTGCATTGTTGTTGCTGGAAGAGACAATTCCTTATTATATTCTAGAATACACTTCTCTCTTGACATTCACATACAATAACTTTTCGTGACAAAAGAACAGTACACAAGTCTCTGGACAACAGCCAGACCTGTAAGAGTTTCCTTTTCTTTTAAAACAATAGGGGTCAACAGAGGTACAAACTGACTGCAGCGTTTTTAGGATAATATGCTGCAGCAGGTAAATCGAAAACATCTAAAACTATCTAAAAAACAGGGAGGTAAAGTTCAGCTATCTAGTTATGTTTAAACTAAAAATTCCAGAGTTCTTCTTTACCCAGAACAAGGCCCTTTGCCACAGCATGCCTTGCTACAGCATGCTGGTTCTTGTTTGCGACAGCTTAGTGCAGCACTGCAGAGCTACTACAATGTGGCTGTTTTTATACTCACTTTAATATTAGTAATACTAAAGTACTTAGAAATAAATAAAGGTGTGGGATCTGTTACCCGTAACATTTCGATCATATATCTGTCAAATATCTAACATTTTAAAACATACCATTTTCCCTGAGCCCAGTAATCCTATCATCTTGTCAACCATTTTAAACATTTACTATCTGAGGTTGCATCCACTCAATTTAATATATCCTGAGTTCTGTGTAGTCATCTGCAGAATAAGCAAATGAAGCTCTGGGTGGGCAGTAGGAGTGAACTTCCTGTGCCAAGAAACATTCTCAGTTTCCTACATCACAATCACATTCAAACTTCTAAGGTATGTTTATATCTGGTTGGTGGCTGTAAAACATTTTCGTACTAGCGTTTCCGCCACATCAAACTTTTTGTTTTTGAGATTTTATGATCACCATTCCAGTGTGTTCCAGGATCACCACATTACAGACTGAAGGAACTGTGGTGGATCGGTGCAGTATATACATTTTCAACTTGACATTTCAACTGCTCAGCAGGTAGGCTGTGCCCCCATATCTATCTTAAGTTTCGATTTTTAGTTTTGTCTGGAGTGTACCCTTAAAGCGTATTTCCAAGTTTGCAGCCAAATTGGCATAACATCTACTTTATATTTGTTATGTGTTCTCATTCACATCAAAATTAAAAACTGCTGATTACATATTACTAGTTTTCGCTAAACTGAATTTTCCTCTGGAGTGCAAGTGGGTTGGGGAGGCTACCATAATTAACCCTGTCTGTACAGGCTGGCAGATCTCTTATCAGTTGTAAACTAGATTTGAACACTGTCCTAACAAAAGGGTTAAAGCTCTAGAATCGTATGTTGATGAGAGGAAGCTCAGAGTGTCCCTGTAGAGAGTAGCTTAAAGTCTGTGCCCACGGAGACATGTAAAAGGTATTTTTTTCCCCTTTTTAGTTATTTTAAGGTATGCTGTGTGAATGGGAGCACATAAACATATAGTGGGGTTTTCTCAACTCTGACTGCAAAGTAGAAATACACTTTAAAACCAAAAGCATGCATCATGATATGCATGCCATTATCTTTACTAGCCAGAAAAAGTGTCCTTTGTGCCCCTAATTTAATTTCACTTCATTATTAGAGATGGCCTCCTATGGGTAAGCCCTATACACTGCCATCTCCTTTTACAATGAGAATGTCTAAATGCCCAATACGGGCACGCTAGTCAGGCCCCTAGTTACAAAGTAAAACTTATTTTCCCGAAAAACACAGAGGATGGTTTCTTGGGTAACAAAGGTAATAGGAGGCAACATTTGGTGTCTGCTTTAGGTAGGACCTTAATTTTTATGGGCCATTCATACTTGTCAACTTTGGTGCATTGTGCTCACGTGCATCAATGTGCCAAAGTAGCTCTTTCCTTTTAAATGTTTTGCCAAATTATCAGAGTGGACGGGAAAGTGTACCTGCAGTATTTTTTTCCAATGCAGTGCACCACAACAAATGGTAGTGTGTTATTGTGTGTTGGTGTTGTGGTGTGCTGCAATGCAAGCCTTTTGGGAAGGTGCATTGGGATGTCATTCAAAATGAATGACACCAAGCTCACCAATGCACGAAATGTGCATTACCACAACACAATGGTGTGAATGGCTCTTTAAATATTTAAAATCGCTGATAGGTTCACTTCAACTTTAGCTTTTTTTTGGTTATAATGCATTTATGGATAATACATTCTATACATGTATTCATTTTAAAGGCCAATAGCCAAAAAGCTGTCTCTTATAGAAAAAAAAGACTAGAAAATAACACTGACAGATATATATTGTTATCATAACTTAGCAGGTGGGCAAAAAAAAAAACACATTTTGTAGGCGGATGTACTAAATATACCAATTAGAATAAAGTAAACTACTGACATTTCTGTAGATTTTACTCAAAGTCTTACATATGTCATTTGTTTTGTAGTCTAGGGTTACTGGCTCATTAATGAAAGGAAAGGTTATTTTCTATAGTAGCACTTCACAGCTGAAGTTACAAAATGTGTAACATCAGATACCCACAATTCTGTGTGTGTAGCTTGCTATGCCAGCTAAAGTACTATAGCATTTTTCACAAGGGTAACCCCTTCTGGTTAAGGTAATCGGCTACCCTCTGCTGGATCAGGTTTCATTATTATGAAGACTATGATCAGCGATGTACAATGTGCCTATGTCACGAGACAAATTTAGTGATTACATTTAGGGATTACATTTTCCAGTTTAGTTTTTGTGCGTTGGAGTGCATATATACCATATTGCACGTTAGAAATAATGCCGTGGTACTTTGCCATTTTAATGCTTAAAGGCAACAACCATTTAGTACTATAGGGGATTTACCATTTAACATGTTTTTAACCTCTATTGGCAGTCAAATAATTTGGTACCTTCATTAAAGATTCCCTCTGAGCCATTTGATATAACCATCTCTTGTTCTAGCACCGGCTGAAAAATAAGTGGGCCAAGCAGAAAACAGCATGCAACCATGGAAGCCGTCCTCATAATGGTCATGAGTAACATCAATTCCTGCTTCCTCCAGCCTTTTGGCATACATGGTTCCATCGTCCCTGAGGACATCATGCTCACAGGTCAGGACATAGGTCTTTGGAAGCCGTTGGAGTGCTTCCTTATGTGCAATCAGTGGAGATGCTCTGACGTCAAGTAAAGCAGGTACATTATGTATAACACTCGGACTACCCACAGTCTGAAATACAGGCTTGTAGTTCTTTTTGAAAGATGGTGGCAGTAATGAATCCCAATTCAATCGTTCACGTAGTGCAACAGTATCACTTATGTCTAAAGATGTGTGATTATTAACCAGCATTGCGTGGGCGAAGTCATGGCTTCCATTGAGGTAGTCAAGCCAGAACTTAATCATCACAAATCGAGACACTATTGGCATGTCTGTGTTTTGTTGATAAGAAGGAGTGTTGAAATCCAGCATTTGGAGAACAGGATAGATTAAAGCTTGCAGTTTCACTTTGGTGGTAAGAGTTGTATCTCCAGTAAGCTGTAAGGAATATAAAATTATAAAAAAGTTAAAAAATTGTTACATACCATCTGTGGTGTAGACCAAATCTTATAACCACCTTCATATTATAAAGATAAGATTAATTAAAATAAAACTGCAGTCTGCAGCAAATATGTTTATACTTCCCCACACCTCACCCTGCACCTGTTCTGAAGCTTTCTGTCCCTATTTTAACATTTACCTGACATTTTCTACCTTGCAACTGGAATAAAAATCAGGCCACATGACAATCCTAACTAACCTGAGACAAATAACATTATCAACCTAACGAACATTCAACTGAGTCCCCACCATGTCTCTCTCCTCCAGAAGGGTTTAAGATTTTCACCGACTGAGGGTATGGATGAATTTGTTATCTATAAAGATTTAAACCTATTCCTCAGAAAAGTATACTTCAAATTCCTATACTCAAAGGATGGTAACCCTTCCCTGCAGGTGATGGACGATGGCGTTGATACCCAAGCCCTAAAAGATCTACAAGCCCTCCGCGAGGAGAACACATAACCCAGGAGGAATACACCGACGAGCAACCCACCAATAGAATCACTAATTTAAGCAGGAAATCAAAAACTATGCCCAACTTAAATAATAACCGTTATATTAGTATGTTCAGAGATCTTGTTGAGGCGGACCTTAGGGCCACCAACGGGACAATATAAGGACAGGATAACTTAAATAAACAAGAAAGGAAAGCTTTGAAATAATAAAAAAATACACCAAAATTGGTTATAAAAATGAGTGATAAAGGGGGTAACGTGGTTCTCCTCACTGAAGAAATTTACCTAGAAGAGGTGAATCGCCTGTTAAATAATACAACAACCTATGTAAAAATAAGAGATTCCCCCTACAGTAAAGTAGTGAGTGAACTAAATTTCAAACTTGATCTTGCTAAACAAGAGAGCCTACTCACCAATAAAGAATTCAATTTCACCAGAGTTGATAATTTCAACACCCCTACTTTTTACATAATACCGAAGATCCACAAGGACAATACGAAACCCACGGTAGACCAATTGTGTCAGCCGTGGGGGCCCCCTTGAAAACGTCGGCAAATTCCCTGATACACTTCTAAAAGACATTATGTTAAAACTTCCGTCCTACCTGAGAGACACAGGGGACACAATACAAAAAATTGCCAATTTAATCATAGAAGAGGGCTCACTGCTTGTGGGTCTAGATGTAGAATCCCTTTATACTTCTATCCCACATAAATGGGGACTACTAGCAGTCAAATACTATTTGGAATCTCTCTTCCCCAATGCAGCTGCTCAAACTGAGTTCATTTTTGATCACCTGGATTTTGCTTTGAATAACTACTTTTCAGTTTGCAGGCAGTCACTATAAACAAATAGAGGTACGTCTATGGGAGCCCCCTGGGCTCCGGCGTACGCATGTATCCACCTAGGCATGTGGGAACATGATAATGTTTATCCGCACCACATGTTCAAATCACATGTCAAGTCATGGTTTAGATTCATTGACAACATTCTATTAGTATGGACAGGTTCAAAGGATCAATTACTGGAATTCATATCAGATCTAAATAAAAACAATAGGAATATTGATCTTACTTCTAAAATAAGCACCCACGAAATTTCATTTCTAGATTTGAGAATCCGAATAGACGGTGACAAATTAGCAACTAACACCTTTGGGAAACCCACAGCAGCCAATACAGTTCTCCACACGAGCAGCCATCACCCGTTATCCCTGAAACAGGGCATACCTACTGGCCAGTTCCTCCGTCTTAAGATGAACTGTACTTCTCTTAATGACTTCAGATATGAATCAAAAGCCATGTATGAACGTTTCAGGGGACGGGGTTACTCCCATCGAGTCCTTAAAAAAAGTTTAGCCATAGCTAATAAACGAACAAGAGAGGAACTCCTTAAGGGTACAAAAAAAGATAAAACGATCAAAGGGTCCGTATGATTACTCAATACGGAACTGGCTGGTCCACTCTTAAACAAACATTAAAGAAACATTGGCATATCCTTCAGCTATGCCCTACCCTGAGAAAAATAGTAGGTCCGTACCCACTGGTGACAGCATGTCGGGCACGGAACCTACGAGACCAGTTGGTCTCTTCGGAATTTGTTCCCAGCACTCAGGAAACTTGGCTATCCAAGACAGCAAAACCTAAGGGCATGTATGCTTGTGGCAAATGCCATATCTGCCCATTTGTACATAAATCTAAACAATTTGTAGATTCAGCAGGCACCACCAGTTTTGATATTCTTTATTTTATTAACTGCAATACCACGCGGGTAATCTATCAAATAGAATGCCCATGTAAAAAACTATATATTGGAAAAACTAAACGTCAGCTAAAAAAAGGAATCGGTGAACATCTGAGGGATATAAAAAACAATGACAAAGAAAGTCCACTTGCGCAACATTTCATGAAACATCATGGAGGACAAACCATAGGCATAAAAATTAAAGCAATCTATGCACTTAAATTGCCAGCACGCAGGGGTGATTTCAATACGGTATTACTCCAGAAGGAAAACATTTGGATTTTTAAGTTAAATACGATGGCTCCACATGGACTTAACAACTAATGTAACTTACAAGTTCTCCTTTAATCCTTATCCCTTATAAAGTTTACCAGTAAACCTAGGGTCCCCTCTTATATTTGAGTCACTCTGGTTTTATTTCCGTTATGAATACTAGTAAGATCTCTCAGAATTGAGACTCCTTACATCGAATTCCCAAATATTGAAACTAGTATTTTATTGGGTTGACCCTTATAAACATTTATTATTTACAAAACATTATGCTGTACTCGTATATATTCTTACTGCAACTACATAGTCAATTAATAACCATCAAATCTGTATGATATTTTTCACCCTGCATTATAGTTGATTTTTTAATTGTATATGACAGCATCGACACTCACTCCACCTCAGCATCCAAGGGGTTAGGAGTAACACATGAGTTGAGGAAATAAAAACTCTGTGTAATCACCCCCTACCAAGATTTGACGAAGCCCTGAGAAAGAAGGCGGGGCGAAACGCGTTATGGTAGTGGACGTTAAGCTGACTAACCACCTGCATGTCAGGCACTAGACACCCCGGTTCGTGTTACCATACAGCGCGACTTCATGACTATATTTTCAACAAAACTAAAGCCTTTGGAATCACTCCACATATCAAGGAAACCTTCTAAGAGTCTGAGTTTTCCAAGCAAAGAGGATTTATCCCACTACAGAGGACTATCTGAAGCAACAGGCAGGCGAGAAATCCATACCCTCTGAGACAAATCGTCCGGAAGTAATCCAGCACCCGTGAGTACTATTTGTTCGAGACTTTAGTGTGATAAATACTCCGGGTGAAATCATTTGATTGAATCTATCAGGACGTTGTTCGTGCATTCAACATTAGTTTCTGACCAAGCTATTTGTCTCATGGTCTGCCTGTCCTATTCCGAGAGCAGTGGCTACAAATGTAACTGATTAATACTTACACCATTCATCTCAGGGATCACAACCCTTTCAGCATCTTTGGAAAGATTTCAACACAATCAATGAGTATCCAAGGCTAAATAGTCATATTACATCTCAATTTAATATTTTTTCAGCGCTGATTTCTCAATGAACTTGAGTTTAACCGGTACCATTTATTATGCTGATCAGCCCATCCTAGTGTGCATGGTTTTGGTATGTGAGTGAGGGTTGTTGCAATAATCATTTTTAGATAGTAACAGGTGCTGGCTAATTGGTGTTTCTAGAATGACCGAGAATTTTAATCAATAAATTTATACAATTTTGTACTACATTTTGACTCTCCGACCCTCATTAATACTGTACTTTGATTTGATCCTATCTTTATCATCTCACAATCTTTTTTCCACATGACTATCCTTAGTCATTTTCATCCTGCTCGGCAATGGCTGGTAGAAGGAGCCAAGTGACGCCAGCAGATCACTGCAGTAATGCCACCAGCAGCGGTGAATGACATTTTGCAGACATTATGCCTATATTAGCTATACACACAGTTTTGCCTAAATGAACAGCAGAAGACAGTAAACCAGATTAAATGTGTAACATGTGTTTGCAGTTCAAATTACACTGGACAACATAAGAAACTAGTGTGAGCTCCTCTTCCGTATTCCTTACGGGCTCCTGTATAAGTGGATATTACAGCATGCATTATCACCTAATACCAGGGCCACAGCAAGGCAGTCATTCCCACTGAGAAACAACACTGCATTCACACAGAGAGATACACAATTATTTTTGCTGTCAGCTGCAGAAGGATTCCTGAGTGCCAAGATTCACTGTGCACAGAGAGGAGAGAGGACTCTGCAGCTAACATTTTCTCATCCAGATAAAACTGGCTCAATGGAAGTTGTGTGCTCCACTGGCAGGAACCGGATCTGAACCCGGGGCCTCTGCTGTAGCTGAAGGTGGTTCTACCTGCTGAGCCACCTTGGATAGCTCCTTGCCTGATCTCCTGTGTAATCCTCAGTTAAACCTAGTTTCTGCTGAACTCTGAACTCCTTGCTCCTCCCTTGAACCTCCTATTTTAGCCATGCCTCTGCACTTCCTGTTTGCCAGATTATTGTGCTCCTGCCAATATCTTGCTCCCTACTCCCACTGCGATACAATCTGCTCATACTGCTAACCATGTACCGACCTTTGGTTGCTGATTCACCGACTACTCTCGTCTTCTGCTTCATACCTGATACCTTTGGCTACGGACCTCGGCTTGTTCGCTGACTACGCTTCTGCCTGCTCCTATACTTCTACCGTCTGCTTGTGTACCAAACCCGACCTTTTATACCACGAATTTGCCTGCTGTTTCAGCTACGGGACTCTGAGCCTGATCCCAGATCGTGACATCCACATAGGACATAGCAGCAGTTATTGACACCACCGTAGGTCAGGAGGATATCTGACAACCAGTGGGTCCTGTGGGATGTTCAGTGTTACAAGGACGGGAAGTATGCCTGTTGCAATGGCCTCTAAAGAA